GAAATTAATTACTTAAGGTGAACATTCCGGAGTACAATAACTGTACCCGACATTACATACCGTACCCGACATTACATACTGTACCCGACATTCGCTCTGGGAAGGTAATAATCGTTTTGACATATGGTATTCCGTGATTTATACACCGTATATCCCTGAACAGCTTTCAGCTCTACCATTGATTAGCAAGGTTTCAGAGATTTAACCAATGACCGCTTACGAAAGCTGCCCACTCCCTCAGATTCTCATGTAGCTGAGAAGAATTTCCGAGAAATCATTACAGCTCCAGCCGCCCTCCATTTACCTTATTGGACGAATAGCAAAATAAGATCAAATTTCCCAGCCGAGGCGATGGTACTTACGAATGAGCGTGATGAGCTTTGTCATACAAAACAAGAGGACGTAAGAGTGAAACAAATCACCCTTGAAGACATAGAGCTATGGGTAGACCACCACAATTTACAAAGGAGTTGCAGATGTCATTCGAAACGCTAAGTCCTCCAAGAGGTTAGACCCGTTTGGAAACTCAATAGTAATACTTAAGTAACTGGATAAACCTGGAGTAGAGTATTTAACAACTGCACTCAACCTGTCGTTAGCTACCCACATTGTTAATAAAACCTGAAAGTAGGTCCCGCTTTTGAAGTCAGACAAGGATGCTAACAAAGGTAAATCGTGCAAACCGATTTCACTTCTGTCCCCAATTGAAAAGACGCTTGACTGCTCATATATAGTCAATAACCGAACAGTCTTGGTGGGTCTTGACTATTCAAAAACCTTCGCTACTGTCAATCACGCAAAGCTGTTCGAGTATATAATCAAGTATATGTTTGGTCGGCTGTCATATGTGGAATTCAGAAGCCGCATTGGCTTCATTCACTCTAAATTGTCCTGCCTCCTTTTTTCTGCACGGGACACAGGGTGCTGAGGTTCCATCAGCTGGTGCACAAAAAGTCTAAAACCCGTAAAGTAAAACGTGGAATTTCCCAGGAAGAGGTCCTTCGGACGGCATACATATGGTATTGTATGCGGATAATTGTACGATCGAGTATCATTATCGATATGTGGAAGGAAATTGATTTTGTACAGTTCTCCAATCGGAGAAATATGAAGATATCCGAAGCCTCACTATTAACCACATGAACAGATGAAATGAAGCTCCCGCTGAACATTATAGTCAATGGTCCACAGATTAGGACCACAAACTACCCAACATTTTTGGGGGTAAAGTTTCAATAGATTATTTAAGATGAGAACAAGGAAGAAGGTCCTCAAGTCCCTTGTCGGACATTCTTGGGGTTCTAATAAATAAACGTTGTTGATCTCCTACAAAGCAATAGGTCGGTGGTAACCTAAGCGATCAAATTATTAGCCCTTGAAGGGGAGGTACTAGAAGGAGCGGACAAATTGTATAAATGGTCATAGAAAAGTAGATTGTCTACGGTTTCGTATGACACCACTTTCTTAGGCGTGTGACCATCAGTTCAAAAGTTATATGTCTGATTTTAATCATGTCCATCAACAGATTGCGCTGTCGACAAGATCTTAAAATATGCATACCTAATTTATATTCGCCATAACCATTTTCGTAGATATTACAATGAAAGTGGTGTCAAATGAAAGGTACAAAGGTATACATTAATTTTTTTTATTCGATGTTATTGAATATTAAGTTGCGGGTTTTCACTTTTCTGTTACAGTGGCAACTTCGGTTAAACCTCATTGAACTCGTTTACCGAATTTATTACGAGATAAAAATATCCGTTCGATTTGTCTGTGTATCGTTACTCGTTCAAAGAATCACAGAAAACTGTAATTTCTGTTAACATGGCAACTCTGTCAAACTATCTTAGATATTGTAGAAATGTGGATGTTCTAAAGTGCACATACATATTTGAATTATTTCTGTATCGTTACCCACATGGCACAATGAATAGGTAGACCATTTAGAACAGCTGATGTCTTGATTAACTGTCAAAGTGCGTAATTTCTACTTGAATTCGATGTGCAATGCTGCCAACTTTTTGAAATATTATAAGGAAAAATTTGACAGATGGTCGAGACAAAAACAAATGTTTTTGTTTTGATACATCACCTTATTATTGCATCATGATTACACATATAAAAGTTATAACGAATTTAAGATTTTAGGGATTTTCTGTAAACTTAGCAGCACTGACAAATATTTGTCGTCAGCGACATCTATTGGTTGGGTGTATACAAAAATCGATCATGCAAAAATTAAACCTCATTTGTTTGACCTACTGTTGATATTTAATTAAAATTGGTATCATTTTTTGATTCTTGTAAAAAAAATAAAGAGAATAATTTAAAACAATTTTCCGCCGATTTTGCATTTGGTTTACTTGATATTGGACTTTTACTTTTCAGAAAAGTATCCTATTTAGGATAGTTGCATTAATTCTCTGAACAGAAAATTGTTCTATGTTTACTTTTGGTTTTTGCAAAATAGTCGGGCTATGTTTACGGAAAAAATTGGAGCCACAAATGGTTAAAGTTTTCTATAATTTCTTTTGGTAATATTTGTATTATAAGAATTTTTTGCAGATTATTTACGCTTCCTTATGCTCTGTGAAAATTGGGCTTTAGGATTTGAAAGCATGACCATCAATAGATGGCGCTGACGACGTGTTTACAAAAATTGCATACCTCATTTAATTTTGCTATAACTATTTTCGAATTGCTGGTATTCAAATGAAAGTGGTGTCATATGAATTGTACACTTGTATACTATCTTGTTAAATATTTCCCAGAGTTATCGTACATACCAGCCATCAAGACAGAAGCGGAAATTTGAAATTAAATGATTGTTTTTCTAATTATACAATTTTTTGGTTTCTTTCTTTAGATTTTCGAAATCCTTGGCTTGTGGTGTTTTCTTCAATCCCGGCCGCGATGCTGAGTCCCCATTGAAATTGTCCGTATGTATTTGGAAACTTGTGGCAAGGCCTTCAAATAAGCTATCTGATGCGGGCTATGTTAATGAGGGCTATGATTCTTATGTCTCATTATTTGCGTACTAAACATCGATTGGTAAGTAGTTAAGAAAGTGGATTTTTGTTTTTTTTTTTTTTGAGAATTATAATATTTTTTAGTATTTCTTTTAGCCTTCCTTTGGTGACCATGAATATCATCATGTCCATATGATTATTTTATTTCATATGTTTGCCAATGGTCTCTCTGTGGAACAAGTCCCTGTGGACAAATGACTGTTACCAATCCTGCCAAATGACTGGAATTTAATTTAATTTTTAATTGTTTTTTTAAAATTACGAAAGTCACGATTTTTGAATTTTATACACAATTTATTATTGTTCAATTATATTTTGTAATTTAAAAATGTGTTTCCTATTAAAAGTAATTTTAATAACATGTAAAGAATATCAAGTCTTCAATAATCGGTATGTATGTACTAAAAATCCAATTATTTTGACCTGTTCTAAAACGATATACACATCGAAAAATATAGGTGGTCAATGTTTTAAAATAGGAATTTAAGAATATTATTTTTGAAGAATTCAATAAGCGTAGATTTTTTATAAATATTTATTATTCAATAGATGATTTGCGGGAGAAAACGAAATACAAAACTACAGATGTTGGAAAATTCTACTCATGTTGGAAAATTCGGTGTAAATACAAAAAATTGGGGTACTGTGGTGTTATCACATTACAACCACTTTGGATTGAAAAATGTTTGTCAAAATACCGAATAACATGGGACAAAAAAGATAATTTTTTGCTAGGAATTTTTTTCTACTCAATGATCTAATTTAAAATTGCAGCCATTTTGTTTTAAAAATTCCCCTAAATTTAGAAATTTTGGAGGTATTCTTTGCAGGAAGATTTGCTACCCACTAAGATCGCAAAATACCAAATTGCAGCCAATTCGGTTGAAAAACGTGGCCAAAATCTTCAAAATAATGTATAAAATGCATCAGCAGTTCTTACCTTTACTATGGGCTAACTACGCCATCATTTCAGTAAATTCATTCTAATACACATTAATTGAATCTTACTCTATTCGTTTACATCAATTTTTATACCAAAATGTCATTTTTACCTTAAAAATTCAATGATGAAGTTGTCTATGTTATTTCCTCATTTTAAGCTAGACTTATCTTGTAATTAATATTTATTTCTAATACACATAAACTGCAGTATTTCCTCTACCATATGGTTTAAATTTCATTAAAATCGCAAAATCCGTTGCTGAGATATAGCCATTTATATTTTACCTTCCGTCAAAATATGGCTGCTACACGATTCTATTTGCCTATTACCTCATTTGGTGACGGCCTCAGTGATTTGCAAATTCCAATTTGTGTTCACAATACCAAATGTTGCCATATGTTTTGAAAAATTGAATGCAGTGTGAGTAAGCAGTAATAATGTTAAGCATACTTTTAGGCGTTATAATTTGTCATGCTTAGTAAGTAAATGAAACATACGGGATTTGTTGAAAGAAATGGATTTTTATTAAAGTTTTGTTTTTTTTTATTGAAAATAAAATTTATATTGATGTAATAATATTTATTATATAAAAATTAATTTATTGCATATTAAATATAATTTTTATGATTTTTTATTGTTTAGTTGGCGGGTTATTTGGGAAACCATTTGTATTTTGCAATAACAAAATATCAAAAATATATATTCCCTTAAATAAATTTCAACTAATCTTTAAAAAATATTCTTTGTTTTATTATTTAATACTCCTTAAAAACTATTTACATTTATATCTCCTTAGAAAATACATTTATTTTTTAAAAAATATATTTTGTTGTTAAAATACATCCCTAGATGTAAACAAATACAAAAATATTAAATATAAAACTTAAATTAAAACTAACATCTTATGATTTCATAATGATCCATATGAACGATCTGCTTTGGTTGAATATTTAAAGTTTTTTGTTTAATAAAAAACCCCTATGAAAATGTAACTTAAAAATAAAAGACTTAAATACTACAAATGTATGAGTAATACTACTAATAGTCTAAGTTGCCTTGAGCTCCAGTTATTATGGCATCAATCCATATTCTAGCAGCTGCATCGGAGGCTGCCAATAGTTGATAGCTGCGTTTTTTAGTCTTAACAATAAATGTGCAATGGGGTCGGCCACTTTTTGAGACATTCAAATGATCCAAATAGACTTCATCGATGGTCTGTGAAATGAAGAAAATGGGGGAAATTAATTTGAGTTATTTTTAAAAGTACATATCTGATATAAAGACCAAGGTCTCTATACAGCCCAATTGGCCTTTATAAAGACCAAGGGTCTCTATACAGCCCAATTGGCCTTTATAAAGACCAAGGGTCTCTATACAGCCCAATTGGCCTTTATAAAGACCAAGGGTCTCTATACAGCCCAATTGGCCTTTATAAAGACCAAGGGTCTCTATACAGCCCAATTGGCCTTTATAAAGACCAAGGGTCTCTATACAGCCCAATTGGCCTTTATAAAGACCAAGGGTCTCTATACAGCCCAATTGGCCTTTATAAAGACCAAGGGTCTCTATACAGCCCAATTGGCCTTTATAAAGACCAAGGGTCTCTATACAGCCCAATTGGCCTTTATAAAGACCAAGGGTCTCTATACAGCCCAATTGGCCTTTATAAAGACCAAGGGTCTCTATACAGCCCAATTGGCCTTTATAAAGACCAAGGGTCTTTATAAGGACCCACGGTCTCTACACAGCCCAATTGGCCTTTATAAAGACCAAGGGTCTCTATACAGCCCAATTGGCCTTTATAAAGACCAAGGGTCTCTATACAGCCCAATTGGCCTTTATAAAGACCAAGGGTCTCTATACAGCCCAATTGGCCTTTATAAAGACCAAGGGTCTCTATACAGCCCAATTGGCCTTTATAAAGACCAAGGGTCTCTATACAGCCCAATTGGCCTTTATAAAGACCAAGGGTCTCTATACAGCCCAATTGGCCTTTATAAAGACCAAGGGTCTCTATACAGCCCAATTGGCCTTTATAAAGACCAAGGGTCTCTATACAGCCCAATTGGCCTTTATAAAGACCAAGGGTCTCTATACAGCCCAATTGGCCTTTATAAAGACCAAGGGTCTCTATACAGCCCAATTGGCCTTTATAAAGACCAAGGGTCTCTATACAGCCCAATTGGCCTTTATAAAGACCAAGGGTCTCTATACAGCCCAATTGGCCTTTATAAAGACCAAGGGTCTCTATACAGCCCAATTGGCCTTTATAAAGACCTTTGGACTCTATACAGCCCAATTGGCCTTTATAAAGACCTACGGTCTCCATACAGCCCAATTGGCCTTTATAAAGACCTACGGTCTCCATACAGCCCAATTGGCCTTTATAAAGACCTACGGTGTCCATACAGCCCAATTGGCCTTTATAAAGACCTACGGTCTCCATACAGCCCAATTGGCCTTTATAAAGACCTACGGTGTCCATACAGCCCAATTGGCCTTTATAAAGACCTACGGTGTCCATACAGCCCAATTGGCCTTTATAAAGACCTACGGTCTCCATACAGCCCAATTGGCCTTTATAAAGAGCAGGGATCTGTATACCGACCAATTGGGACTAATCGTTCTTTATTTTTCAAACATTTCAAAGGAATTTCAGAAGAATTTTACAAATTTCAATCTTACTGAAAAATAAGCCCCTCCACGTGGTTTCCGTTCCAATTTATCGGAATAGTAAATAAAGGCATTGCGCGTACGATCCAAAACAAACCAACGTTTCGACCAGCCATGGAAGGTGGCACCTAATTTATGGAGATAACTGAAAAAATAAAGAAGACGGAAAATTAATATCGTATCGGATGTGGGGATGCTCAGCTGTGTTGTTTTTTCTACTTACCCCCTACATGTGTGTGAGTCGACAAAGACATGTGGACACAAATCGATTTGATGACCCGCCGATTCGATGTGTTGTCGTAAATCTAAATCTGGTGAAAAAATGGGCAGATATCTGGTGAGTGGCCGTTGATGTTTGGGCAATGCGGTACGTTTACGTTCACTGCCCTCCGACAGCAGAGACGATTGATCTCTTAATTGTAGAGAACTGTTGTTGTTGCTGCTGCTGTTGGCGGCATCTGTTGAATTAAGACTATCCGGTCGTTTGGCAGTATCTGTATTTGCATTGTTGTTGTTGTTGTATTGGTGGCTTCCACTCAGTGTGGATAGTTCAATATTCGATTTGCTGGTTGTCTGATTTGTCAACAATTCACAACTCAACTCAGAGTTCGCCTCGGATAGCGGTCGTGAGGAGGTGCTGTGGCGTTTTGCTGGTTCCGCAACATGTAAATGATTCGTTTCAAATTCAGGCTGGGAGTGACGTTGCTAAAAAGAAAAATATACAAACAAATTAATGAAATTATTATTATGTTTAGATGATATTATTATTAGAACATTATGTTATAAATTATTTAAAGGTTAATTTGATTTTTTTCGTTATAATTTTATTAATAAACTTAAAGCATCATAACATGGCATCGCATACCGCCAGCCCGCCCACATAATCTAGCCAATAAATTTGTCAAACTAAACAACATAAAATAAACAACACTTCGAATCACTTCCACCCATATTTTACACTGTATCAAGAGAAAAAAAAAACACAAAAGGGGAACATTTCAAAATTTGTCTTGTAGAGAAGTTGAAATGGTGCGTAAAGGAATCCAAAAACATTGGGAAGGGGAGAACAACTTGCAACATTTTTTGAAATATTATTATAGGTGTAATATTTTGGTAATTTATGATAAAAAGGTGTGTTATTAAGAATTCATATACGAGGTTCGTTCAAAAAGCACAGTAGATAAAGACCAACGGTCTCTATACAGCCCAATTGGCCTTGATAAAGACCTATACAATTCAAATGGTCTTTATAAAGAGCAGCGGTACCTACACACAGCTCAATTGGCCTTTATAAAGACCAGGGGTCTCTATACAGCCCAATTGGCCTTCATAAAGACCAGCGGTCTCTATACCGACCAATTGGTATTTATAAAGACCAGAGGTCTCTATTCGTACCAATTGGCTTTAATTAAGACCTACGATCTGTATACAGCCCAATTGACCTTTAAAAAAGACCTACTATAGACTGTAGGTATAGCCGAGATCAGGGGTCTCTATACCGACCAATTGGTCTTTATAAAGTCTATATACCAATCAATTGGCCTTTATAATAAACAGGGGTCATTATACCGACCATTTAGGTTCTACACCGACCAGTTAGCCTTTATAAAGACCTTGGGACTCTTTACAGCCCAATTGACCTTTATAAAGACTAACGGCCTCTATACAGCCCAATAGGCCTTTATAAAGACCGACGATCTCATACCGATAAATTGGTCTTTATAACGACTAGGGGTCTTTATACCGACCAGTTGGTCTTTATAAAGACCTACAGTCTCTATGTGTCCATTTGGCTTTTATAAAGACCATCGATCTCTATACAGTCCCATTGGACTTTATAAAGACCAACTGGTCGGTATAAAGACCCCTAGTCGTTATAAAGACCAATTTATCGGTATGAGATCGTCGGTCTTTATAAAGGCCAATTGTGCTGTATAGAGACTGTGGGTCCTTAATAAAGGCCTATTGGGCTGTATAGAGGCCGTTAGTCTTTATAAATTCAATTGGGCTGTAAAGATTCCCATGGTCTTAATAAAGGCTAACTGGTCGATGTAGAACCCAAATAGTCGGTTTAATGACCAGATGTTTGCGGAACAAATATAGTCCGATGAGTTTTAAATTTGACCTATTATAATGTCACTCGTACAAGGACTAAAACCAACTTAGTCCTTGTAGTAGCTTCGTTAATCATTTTGTTTTATCCAGCTATGTAGATGATTGGTATGATGTAACCTTTCCTAGGTGATGGGGCTACCATCTATCGTTGCCTAGAAACAACGCCTTCTAGAATATTGTGCAGCGGTTGGGATATTTGCGTATTTAGTGTTGCCATTTTTCTCTCGGTGGCGTCTTCTGTTTATGCGGAAGTTATTATTAGAATATCAAGGGTCTTCGTATGAATTTCAAATATTCAGGAACCAATTTAAAATAATTTTCCCCCTCCGCTGGGATGAATGAATGATGCTCCCTATAGTAGGCTATTGACCTTAATGACATAATGGTGGTATCATTCAGTATCGATTAGATAATAACACAAGTCCTGATTATTGTTTTTACCAGCAAAAAGTGCTTAAAGAATTTGTGCGGATTTTTATTGTGGAAAAGTATTGAAAGAGGGCGTTAACTAGTATAACTAGGGAAATAAAAACATGCCAAGAACCACGATGAATTCTTTGAGTGCTATGGCCCCTCCTGTAGGACAAGGAATTGGTTCAGAGCAAATGAATTCTCCAATAAATTCCCCTAATGGTGGTATCATTCAGTATCGATTGGATTATAACTACAAGTCCTGACAGGAAGTTTAGGTACTATTTTATACCCTCAGATACCCGAAAAAATTGCCTTTTCGAAATGTTTCTTTGTTTTTGCACATGTTTTATTTTTAGGGACCCATTGGTCGTCTTCTTCTGGAGAGAACCCCAAAAAGGGTGAATATTTTTTAAATCTGTAAAGCTGGTCCATAGGTGTCTCATTTTTTCCTTCCTTTTGGTTTTAAAAGCGATTATTTTATGGAAGTTTAAGACGCTTAGTGTCGCTTCCAAAATAATAGTATCAGAACAACTTTTTGGTCTGGTCAACATAATTTTTTGAGGTACGTCAACAGAGGACTTAACACTCTTTTACAAGTCTCGATGTAAAAATTTAGGATTTCATTAATAGGCGAAGTACTTGACTGTCAATAAATATTCCGATCAAGTAGCATGAGTATACCTCAGATACTGTCCTCATAGAATATATATTAAAAGTCCATTGCAGATTTCAGGTAGAGGTCGATAAGTTTGCTTAATATCAGAAAAACCGCAAAGCGATACCATACTTCTTTTCAGAGCCGTTCCTAACAACTTTACTTTCCAATTCCAAATCGCAAATCTATTTGTGCAATCGGTCCAATTATGGGACAATTGAATATTGTGCCTATGAACAGAGCACTTTAATTAAATACTGTTATTTTTTTATTTCAAAGGAAATGGTGTAATCATATCTTTGCCAACATATTTACGCAAAACCAAATAATCCACACACATACAAACACAAAACAAAAATATGACCCAAATATTTTGACAATCTTTTTTTGCACTAATTCCAATATCTTATGCAGATACAAAAAGATAAAAATATTTTGCACTTTAAAAATTTTGTAACATACAACAACATAATTTACAGAGATCTTATTATTATTTATTAAATCCCGTCAAAAAACACTTGACATTTCATCACTTTCACTGTCAGTGGGGGGAACATTTCAAATATGCCTCGAGCAAGGCTTCAGTACTCAAATCACAACCCTGCGGCGCATTATCTAAGAAGACTTTGCCGAAAAAAAAAAAAAAAACAAAATCACAAACTTACTAAAATAATAATGTGATGGTGGTGATGACAGCAATGTTGCTGCTGCTGTTGTTGGTCTTGATACTGATGATTGCAATGATGCTGGTGGTGATGGTGTTGTTGTGGACGCCGCCTCTTTACATAGTTAAGCCAAGTGGGCATTACGGGTGAAAGAGGCATGATGTGATGTGGGGTTAAATCACAAAAAAATTCAATTAAACCAAATGGTGTGTGTCCACCCACAATTTTTTTTCAAACGCCAAACAATAACAGACGTAACCGAAAAAAAAAATATTAGACAACAAAATTCACGCCCAAGATTTTTCGAAACGATCAGAATTTTATGTGACCACCAGTACCGCAATGAACACTTTCTGGTCACCGACTAAAATTATCAACGAAAATCACCACACAACGCGATTTATCCAGAGTATCTCACGAAGAGCATCATAATTTTTTTCTTTGTGAATATCGTTTAGAAATTTTGCCTCCGTAGTGCTCACTTCTTAGGAGGTAAGAGTAAACACAATGAAATGGTCACTCTGTTAGTCTATCAACGCTGTAGAAGCGTCTGTACATTGTATATTTGTCAGCAACATTTTCTTCATAATGACAGCGTTTGCTTGAGCAACAATGAAAACACCACCATTGACCGCTAGACAAATTGTAAGGAATGTTTGCTGGGCTGAATGATGAATATTTGTAATTTAAATTAATTAGATGGAAATGTGAACTTTGTGGGGCAAAATAAATCGCCCTCACATAGATAGACTACAGGGAGACATTGAGCAAGACGATATTGTATGAAATTGCAGAAAATAGTGGATCATGTGGTCACTCTTCTATTGACAACACCACCAAGACCATGAAAGGGAAATAAAAAAAAACAATAAGAGAATTCCAGTGGGAATGGTAGTTGGAGCCAGGGTATGAATTGAATTGTGAATGAATTGGAAAACAAAAACAAAAAATCAAATCTGACTCAGGAGAGTTTGACATATTTTTCAGAGAATTTTTAAAGAGGTGTACCAAACCTAGAGCCGTGAATTTTAAAGATTTTTTAAAGCGAAACACCAGACTTATAAGCGGATATTTTTAAAGAATTTTGTAGAGAAGACTATTAGACCTTAAAACGTGGATTTTTAAAGAAGGACCATCAGATCTTAGAATTTTTAAGAGAAGCCAATCAGACCCTTGATTCGTGTATTTTTAAAGAATTGTTTAAAGAGGACCATCAGACCTTAAGGCGTGGATTTTTAAAGAATTTTTTCGAGATGTGATGGTCCACACCATAAGGCGTGGATTTTTAAAGAATTTTTTTGAGATGTGATGGTCCACACCATAAGGCGTAGATTTTTAAAGAATTTTTTCGAGATGTGATGGTCCACACCATAAGGCGTGGATTTTTAAAGAATTTTTTCGAGATTTGATGGTCCACACCATAAGGCTTTGATTTTTAAATTTTTTTTCGAGATTTGATGGTCCACACCATAAGGCTTTGATTTTAAAAAAAATTTTCGAGATGTGATGGTCTACACCATAAAGCTTGGATTTTTAAAGATTTTTTTCGAGATGTGATGGTCCACACCATAAGGCTTGCATTTGTAAAGAATTTTTTTGAGGTGTGATGGTCCACACCATAAGGCTTGGATTTTTAAAGAATTTTTAGAGAGGACCATCAGACATTAAGTCTTGGATTTTTTAAGATTTTTTCGAGACCATAAGGTATGGATTTTTAAGGATTTTTTTAGAGAGGACACTGGCAATTCCTCTGAATCTTATCTTTCCCGAGTGGACATATCCGCCATAATATTTAATAGTAATCTTGGTACATTTGATCTGCTAAATGTCGACCAATCATCAACCAAAACAGCCAT